TGTGGTGATTGGGGGGTGAAACTTGCTTTGTTTCTGTTAAGACAACATGTTACCCCGTGTTCGGCGACCGGCCGCAGCCCGGCCGAGATGTTGATGGGTCGCCGTTTAGCAACGCTGTTAGAGAGGTTGCATCCTGACCTCAATGATTTGAAACCACAACAGACAAGCGAAAGTCCGAAGGTCCGGACATACAAAAATGGTGAGCAAGTGTATGCTCGTAACTATGCCAGTGGTCACTTGTGGCTCCCAGCCACTGTTACTGACGTTATTGGTACTAGGATGTATGTGGTACGTTTTGCTGATGGTCGCAAGTGGCGTAGGCACATAGACCAGCTGAGGCAGTGGTGGGCAACTGACCGTTCCACCGTGCAGCCGGCTGAGTCCCCTGAGGACTTCCCACGACCTCTAGAGGAGGCGAGTACTGCGGAGCCTGAGGGCAACAGTACTGGTCAAGAGGCAGGGCAGACCCCTACTCTTGAACCAACTGGAACGGACGGGAATGTTCCTGACTCTGAGGTCCCAAAGTCAAGCAGAGTGCCACTGAGTGAAATGTGCCCTGAACCTATTCCACCTCGTAGGTCTCAGAGGAATCGACGTGCACCTACCTACCTAAGTGATTATGATTGTTCATGATTGTATTTGCTTAGGGGGGAGGGAATTGTAATGTATTCATATGCTGACATGAGTACATGCGGATGTATGGTGAAACATCCCATAGGGAAGCTATGTCAAGCTTCGTCTCCGACAGGGATTCAAGTCCGAGACTAACAGACCAATCACGTTCTAGCTAGCTGTAAGCGGGAACGTTGGTGATTGGACCTTATGCGTTCAACCTGATAGGTTGTTAAATGTAAAGTAGGAGTGGCTATGTTAGCCGGGAATGTTTAAATACCGAGCAGTTTCAATGGACAAACTGTTCGGGCTATCAGATGTTCTGTGTTGATGAAGTGATCGTAGAGCTGAATAAACCTGAGTTTTCGCTGAAATCACTCTCCGACTCATTGTTAAGCGCCGGACTTAACAGCTACGACCCCTAGATCCTTTTCACACTATTGCCAAGACAAGTCTCCCCCCATCCTATAATTGATGCATTTGATACCCAGTACTTTCACCTTGTCAGCCAGTTCTTCCGTGTTGGTAAGAATCAAGTCCAAGATAGCAGATCCTCTCCACTTTCTGGGAAATGACACTGTCAGCAAGACAAGTCAGTAATTAGCAGAGTTGGACTTCCAACGGATATCCCGTCTCTTTGAGAATTTTGTAATCTGTTGTAGGAGTGTCTCATCGAAATCCTCTGCCTGGCTCAGTGGTCTATAGCAGACCCCCCCCCCCCTATAATATCACTATTTCTTACTCCTTTTATTTTTACCCAGAGACTCTCAACTAATCTTTCTTGCTCAGATTCACGTATTTCCTCACATGTATATACCTCCTTTACATATAATACGACTCCTCCACCCTTCCTTATCCGTCTGTCCCTTTTAAATAAGTTATACTCCTCAATAAGTTTAATAAATTATGCTAAGCCTAATATTCCAATTCACCTAATATTCACATCACCTACTCCCAGATCTTTTAGCTGGAGATGCCGGGGATTGAACCTGGGACCTTCTGCACGCCAAGCAAATGCTCTACCACTGAGCCACAGCCCCTCCCTGTCAATGGAAATGAGATTATTTTGTGGATAAGCTCTAAATATCAGTGGTTGGAGATGACATCAGGTGAAGTCTCTGTGCCCTGTTTGTTAGTTCTCCCGGGTGCCTGGGTAGCCACTGTATGAAACAGGATGCTGGACTAGATGGACCACCAGTCTGGTCCAGCAAGGGCTATTTTAATGTTCTTATATTCTTATCAGTTAATAAGTGCTAGCACTTGTCAGATTTAACACTCAGAGGGGGCCATTTTAGGATCCTATTGGCCTCATTCAAATCCTTGTTTGGGGTCAGGGTGTGTTTGCAGTGACAGCGAAATGTCCGTTTATTTTTTAAAAACTAGCACAATTATTATGTAGAGTCCATGGCTACATTAAATGAATTATTTTTTAATTGTTTCCTGTTTCACAGCTCTCCTTTGCAGCGACTACACCAGAGTTAGCTGATAAGAAAAAGTATCCTTATTTCTTCCGGACTGTGCCATCCGATAATGCTGTGAACCCTGCAATTTTGAAGTTGCTGAAACATTATCAGTGGAAAAGGGTGGGAACCCTGACTCAAGACATACGGAGATTTTCCGAGGTAAGATCAGATGTTTTCTTCCCAGCCAGGTCTGTCGTCCGTGACCCCTTTGTCTGCGGCGTGTTCCCCTCAAAGGTCCACGCCCCAGCGGCTTCTTCCGTGGGCTGCCCCCTGCTACCTGTGGAGCTGCTTCCCGGAAGAAGCCAAAGGGGCGTCTGCACTCCCGGATTTCCAGCGTGGCTGCAAAACGGAATTATTGCAGACAGTCTGAATCTGGGCAAAAGGGAATGCTTTTCTAGCTGGGCTTATCAGGGTTTTTAGATGGGTGGTTGTATTTGTTGGAAATGCATGTGTTTACAAGGTCTGACAATTCAGTCATGATAGGGTTAACTTGTTTGCCTAGTATTGCTATTGTTGGAAGGGATACCTGGCACTGAGCCAATGGGGAATTAGCCCGGGAAAAGTAGCTTTCTACTGTGATACAGATTGGTCGTTTGTTTCAGGTGACTTCCTTTCTAGGGGTCAAGAAGAAGGAGAGATTCTCCATTATCTGTGTGCTAGTGTTGACTATAGGCAGCTTAGAAAATGCAGCTGTTAGTGTTATGTTAATTTGTAGTAATCCCGTATACCTTTTACCCTTAGAAATAAAGGTTTTTAAAAGCAAAGAAATCTCTTCTTTCCAATAGAGCAAGATCCATTGATAGTCTGAGTATTAAACACTTTTGACTATTTTACAACAGTATTGTAGTTTTATTTTTTAAAATAACTTTTATAAAGATGCAATGGTACGTAATCAGAATCAGTATACAGAACAAACATGTCCAGTTCACAATTAAAAAGGAAGGAAGAGAAAGTATACAGTTATTCCTTTCTTATCCATTCCTTTCTAACTGCTGAAGGGGTTTTTTTAGTGCCAATTTAATTTTAATGCCAATTTAATGCCACTGTTGCCAATTTTTATCATCTAATATATTCTCAGAATTTTGAACTATTGTAAGTTTGACTGTTGATAACAATTCCATAACAATTTCAGAAACCATTCTATTCAGAACATCAGTGGTTTCCAATAACACATTGTAGTTTAAATATATTTTGTATTTATTCTTTTAATTTTTTCATGTTGTATACAGATTTATTGTATCTTTATATTATTGTAGCTGCCCGGTTTGGCTTCTGAGTTGGTTGGGGGAAAGGCAGGCATATACATAAAATTAAATAAAATATTATAAATAGTTATATAATTTCCAAGTTCTCTGCAATGGGTGGTGGTGGTGATGGTGGAGCATTTCACTGAGAACTCTGAGTGCCTGACAATGCATGTAAATCCTTAGTATTATAAATCACTCACTCACTGAGGGTACCTTCCCTCAGTCACTTGAAGATCCACCTGCTCCTAAAAAACAGAATCTCTACAGGAAAACGATGCAACCGCTTATCGCCCTGTCTCTGATCTGCCCTTCCTAGGCAAAGTGACTGAGAGAGCAGTAGCAGAAAAACTCCAGGTCTCCTTGAAGAACTCACCTGCTCTAGACACGTCTCAGTCTGGTTTCAGACCAGGCTGCAGGACAGAGATGCTTTAGTTCACGACCTCCGTCTAAAGGTAGACAAAGGTCAGGCCTCTTTGTTGCTCTTACTGGACTTATCTGCTGCCTGAACCACAGCTGGCTGTGCCAACTTGTTGAGGCACCTGGAGGCAGAAGCAGGCATCAGGGGTTGTGTGTTCGACTGACTGAAATAATTGCTTACAGCCCAGAATAAGGAACTGGTTTGACTACTTGCTCTTTGCATCCCAGAATAAGGTTTGGACCGCCACATGTCATACACTCCTATGTTCAGCGGACACTCCCCTTCAAGGAGACATATGCTGTTTCCTGGTCCAAAGCGCAGTTCTTGTGCCAGCTGCTCCAAAGTGCGGTCCCCCTAGGACAATCACACAGGCAGTTCACCTTTGAAATGCAAGCTTCTTGGGGACAACCCAAATAGAAGCCTGTGGCTCTGGAACCAGTATTTTGATTGGGCACCACTGCCTGTCATCTTGCAGTGGATAGTCTCCACAGAGTGTGGGGATGTGTCATTTGGGGTGGACCAAAGAGTGTTTTGGGGTGTATTGTGGCCCAAATGTCTGCCTGTGTGATTGTCCCGGGGGCACCCCGCTTTGGAGCAGCTGGCACAAGAACTGCACCTTGGACCAGAAAACAGGATACACCCTCTTGAAGGGGAGAGTCCTGTGAATCTGGAGGTCCACGATGTGTGGTGGTCCAGACCTTCTTTTGGGGTTCAGAGCTTCCAAACTCTCCTCAGTGTTTTTGGTTGAATTAATGAGTAATTTGTGAATAAGGAATGAATAAGGAACCAGGAGTAAGAAACCAACTTCAGCCTCGTCGCCCAGGAAGTCTTTTTTTTTTTAATTTACACTGCTGAGAATTCAAACAGGCTGTTCCTGCCTTTAGTTTAAAGTAATGGAATCCAGGAAAGATGGTATCCGTTGTTATTTCCTGCTTGTTGAATTTGGCCTTTAGCAGGGAAGCTGTTGTTGCTGACAAATTACCAGATGAGATTTTCTATACTTAGTTCTCATTGCCAGTTCCTGGGGGGCGGTACGGCGAAGCGAAGGTTCACAGGAATGAGCCTGAGCTGTCCCAGGGTCAGAAGGAGGATCAATTAGCAGCACTCACACAGAGCCGTAATGAGACCTACGCAGAGTTGTTATGAAAAAATCAGCGTGGTTGGGTCAAGTGGGTTGTGGGGAGAGCTGGGGGGAAATCCAGTGCCACGGCTGCCCTGAGCCAAATTCTGGAATACCCGGTTGGCAGCTTAGAATGCCCCCAGGCTTGGGGGGGCTCTGATTCCTGGTTCAAGCCCCTCTGCTCCTGTAACTTCCATCTGTTGTGAATTCCGTGCTTTAGAGCGCATTGAAGAATCCCTGAAACCACAGCAACTGTTTATTTCCACAAGGGAAAGGCAACAAAGGTCCCTGCCACACGGCAGGGAATTAGGTGCTAGTACCGCGGCTAAAGTGAGCCGCGGCAAAGTTGGGACGGCGCGGCGGGATCTCACAGATCCCCCGAGCCGCGTCGCAACGCTCCCCGGCACGATCAGATGCCGGGGAGAACGCAGCGGTGGGAAGGGGAGCCTGGCGAACTGCGCATGCTCACACATGCGCAGTTCGGCCAGGAGCCGGGGATGCGCCGGCGCAAGGACGCGCCGGCGATCCCACGGCCAGCGTTGCTGCGGCCCTCCGGAAAGAACCACCTCGGGAGGTGGTTCTTTTTCGCCGCGGAGCAACGCTGGAAGGGACTGAACCGGGACGGATCCGGCACGCTCCCCAGATGTTGCGGTGGGATCGTGCCGGTTTGCTCCGCCCCTGTTCCGTCCCGCTTCCGGACCAAATGGGCTCGTATGAACAGGGCCAAAATGCACCAAAGTCAGAGAAAGCCATTTGGCTTAACTGCCAAAGGGAGAAGGATGGATGACTGCTGAAAAA